GAAATAGAAGAGTGTTTCAAAGATGTAAAAGTGACAGACAGACACAAAGGTAGAAAAAAGGTGATGTGAGTAATATGGAAGTATTCAAATATGACATACAGTGGGGTCATGGTAGTTTGAAGTCAACTGCCAGTTAATAGACTTTTTTCCCATATGAGTATACGTTGCCCAGGGTGCACCACGTGGAGGTAAGTCTCTCGCACACCCCTACCTTGTAAGATAAACTATTATCTAAAACCAGTAGATATTGAGTGAATAATGCAGATTTCAAATCGATGTCTTTACCCATTTTTAAATGTTGCATCAAATTCCAAAGGACACAATTGGTCAATAAGAGAATGCGCTGCTGTTTCCTTCGACATATTACACTTCCTCCATTGCAAAATAATTTCTTATTTATATCAAATGGCAGACTTTATGGTTGTTATCATTAGCTGAAGGGAGGAACAACAAGATCAAAAATGTCGAGAGTGAGAACAGAAGAGTGATGCACAAATGTAAAAGAGACAAACGACACAAAGGTAGAGAAAAAGGTAAGGTTAGGTGAGTACTGTGAAAGTGGCGTAATATGACATACAGTGGGATCATGGTAGTTTGAAGTGAGAAGTCAACTGCCAGTTTATAGACTTTTTTTGCCGTATGAGTTTATGCTGACCAAGGTGCACTGCCAACCCCCGGAAAATATCACTTTCCTGTTTATTCATTTTCAAAATCCAAATTTATCTCACGGCTAGGCATATCTAGCCTATACATTCCAGATATGCATTCCTTGGATGAAAGGCCATTAATCATATGAATGAAATAGACAGGACGACCAACGGCCCCATTCTCTGCATTCATAAAACTAACCAGACTTTCAACTCTACACATTTCATAGATATTGGAACTTAACTTAATTTTTAATGCCTTTTTCTTAATGCGATAGGCCACTCTTCATTTTAGATGGCATAAAAATTTTATACTAGAATTTTGCACGAAAAGACCATGTATGGCGATGTATTGATAAGAATGGGCTACAAAGCCAAAGGTTGATCTAAGTATCTTTTAGGGGGTCAGTCCTGGGGGAGGGGGTTAGGGGGGGGGGAACTTGTTGTATCCAAAAGAAGCGAATAACGCTATATTAGTTAAAAAGTCGATCTCCAGTTAGCGCAGTTATCAAATTGAGCATCTCGATCGATATTCATTGGTACACACACAGTAGCATGATGGCTAATCGCCGTGATTAATTGCGGTCAAAAAGGAGGGTTGGTGGGATCCAATTTTCTTATTTGAGTGCTTTTGGAATACTCTCCGGCCTTCCAAATCAAATGCTGTTAACATTATTCCATAATAAGAATCTGTTTTTTATTTAACTGTATCCACCATACTCTAAGAGCTAATTTGTTACAAATAAGTCTATATTTTTCAATGACTTAGTTTCTTAAGATTGGTTGACTCCTGTCATAATTTCTAGATAACATTTGGTTTTAATCGATTCAGTGCAGTCGAGGCAGTTTTTTTCCTCCTTGGAGGACAAACTACTGCAAAGAACGAGTACGACAGAAACGGTTAGCATGCATTTCATCAATCAAGGTTTGGAATGACACCATATTGTCCTGACCGACTTTTGATTTCTTCATCTGTAATGAGTCAAGTTATTTTTTAAAAAATGTGACAATTTTGATTATGGTGAAACTAATAGGCCTAGATTAAACAGCAACTACTTTTGTGCCATCAAAAATGGCTAGGGACTCCATTGAGAAAAAATGACAAGGAGAGAAAAGGAACAGATGAGTAGTTATTTCAAGGCCTTTAAATCCATTTGACGAAGAAAATATAAGTTAGTAAAAGTCGCCTTCATATGGTTTAATATCTGGCGGTTGAATCTCCACCGAATCAATTCCATTCTTGAACTATACAGTCAATGTGAAGGACGGTGAAGTGATCACCCGCGGGGTTCCAAAAAACGGCAAGACAATATACGAACTCGCACATTTGAACTGTATTTGCTTTTGCTTTGTCAGATTCGAATTAATTAGTTGGCACTTTTAAAAGTTACAAATTGTGCTCAGATGGGGTGCATGAGTCATCAGGGAAAACCATCCCACCACAGTTAGAAAATCCCACTAAAAATCAACCTGCGGTCTTTTCCACTATCACATATTCTCCACCCCTGTGATTGATTCATCAAAGCGCGCGGATGGTGATGATATCCAGAAAAGAGTTCAATCGAAAAAAATTGTTTAATCAGAGCCTGTGTGATGCTATGTACTTCCTCTTCAACGAATTTCCAACTGTAATCCAAGTTACAAATTTTTATCTGAAATATATCACCATGTCTAAAATACGCAATAAGTAGTAGACAACCAATTTGAATATTTTAGACGTATTCGACCGGATTCCATGCTAACCCAAAACTTATTTAATTACTAAAGACCATTATTTTAAACCGATTTTCTCAGGCTCGAATCTGAGTATCTCTCTAATGGAGTTCTATAAAAGTTTATTTGTTTATATCAAATGGCAGGCGCTTTGATAGCTATCATCAGCCCTTTAGTTGACTTCGGGCTTCACAGGGGGAAGTAACATCAAAATGAAAAAAGTCGGGGCGGGGGGGGGGGGGGGGGGGGGAATAAAAGTTTCAAAGATGTAAAAGAGACAGACACAAAGGTTGAAAAAAGGTGAGGTGAGTACTATGGAAATAGTGGGGTGATGATAGTTTGACGTCAGAAGTCAACTGTCGATTAATAGACTTTTTTGCCGTATGAGTATACGTTGCCCAGGGTGCACCACGTGGAGGTAAGTCTATCGCACACCCCCAGTTTCATAAAAGTTAGGCTATCTAAAATGGGTAAAATGCGCTTCTAACAACGAGGTCTATTTTAATGAAATATAACAGCCTGAATTTCAGCTTGTCGACTAGTTAGGAGAGAGCAATATGAACCAAGATTGTTTCAGATGACAAGAACTTTCGGCTCAGCGAGGCATACCCAACTTATTGTCAATAACTTCAGCAATCATTTTTTCTTTCCAAATAATACAACTACTTAGCACCATGTACCTAGAATTATTGGATTGTTGCTTTAATCCTGATTGAAAGGCTGAAAAAAACAAGCTCGGAGCTAATAAAGTGTGTGTGTGTGCGTGTGTGTGCTTTGCCTCAGCGTGCACAAGTGTCCAAGAGGCAAAATTTGTTATCAGTCGGGTGATTCTTTGATCTCTGAAATATAACACTATGAAGACGACTTTTGCTGTCAGGCCTAGACCCAGCTGAGCTGATTAACTATCAGAGGGTAATCAAGCCTTCATCTTATCCCCCTCCCCCTTGGGGTCTGAGTCAACGTTAAAATACCGCTATAAAATAGACTTCCTTTCATTTAAGCAGTGTAGAATGACTACGCTTTGTTAAGTATTCCGTCCTTTGAAAATTGTGCTTAAGAAGGGAATTCAAAAGCATGGGTATGTTTTCGTTAAACTTAGTGGATTCAAATAGTTCAATTGTAGAGATAACTAATGTGAAAATCATCAAAGACAACTCAATTGCATGGAAATTTAGTTTGTTTGTAGGATTCGAATTCTATGATTGTTCCCCTCGAGTTAATGCTTCCCCTGAATATCGTGCATCCGTCAGTTTAACTATTGTCACAGATATGTCTCAACACTTGATTAGGACTTTCTACCGCTTACGTGGTGCAAAGTGTGAATCATAAGATATCTAAAACTCCTCATCTCTACCTTCAACATCGTCAGATTCGTTATACCCGGACGACTTAAGAGTAATCAAATCATTCGACGGTGGGGCAAAAGGGCTGTGTTTGGGGGTCTGTGTCATAACACCCGCCAGGCACCTAATACGGATTTTGTGTCCTAAATTTGTGACAGAAGACAAATGTAATGATTGCCATTTCACGTACAATATGTTACAAGCATTGCGATCGAAAGTATTTATTAGTCAAATGAAAAGCAATTGATGGTTGTCAAATAAAATAACAGGTTTCGTCTAAATAAACAAAGGCCCTACGGAAGAGAAGAACATTAATTTTAATTTTCACATTTCGACCACTGAACTTTTGAGCGTGTATTTACTTAAGTAATTTTGTTTTGTCTAATTAGTCTGTAGGTGCATGAGCAAGGTACAACCAAACACAAATTTCAATGATAGTTAAAAACACTGGACTGATTTATGAGAAAAACTGCATCGGAATTATCATTCTCATAGAAGGTTTGGGTTTCCCATAAAGTCAATTTACTTCTGTTAGGAAGCCCAGTCCAGGAACGCGTAAGATTCGTTCACCATGCCCTGGATTTTCGATTTTCACGCCTAGGTGTGTAAGACCATCTGAGAAGAAGGTGCGTCGCTGCAATTATCGGCTAACCAGGTATCCAATCGTTCACACCACATTCAATCCTATATAAGCAAGCTTTGTGAATGGAGGCCGGTCGTTTGAGGCGTGTCTTACTTTCCTCCTCCTACTTGACCCTAAGAAGCTGCAACTTTAATTTAGGACGACTGAGAAGTTATAATTTATTCTAACTGAAGTGGGATAGGTGATGAACCTGAGTGATCGGTAATTATGCGCACGAGTGCTAGTATTTTAACAATTCAACTTGATAACCATGGAAATTAAAAGATTCTTTGTAAATAATATTCATCAGTATAATTTCACCGTTAAGTTCATCAACAGTAACGTCAGTAAGGAAAGAAAATCAAATTTGAAGAAAGCGGGCAAGTTCATTCAAAAAGGAAAACAAAAAAATACATAGAAGAAATGCCATCATACAGTCACGATGTGTCCACCACTACCAATCTTCAAAACCCGTTTCACTCGTTTTAAGCTAAGTAGAGGTTCAAATTGGATGTGGCAAAACAGAGTAACTCCAGCTCTAGAGAGACGAAACCGAGTTCCAGGTTTGAGGAGAAGCATATTTGGAGATGTTTGGCTTCCTCCAAGAGAATGAGAAGAGTCTTCGGCGTCCAGAATATGCAGACGCCAAGACTGAGCTAATTGGACACTATTCGTAGATTTGAGACCACAGCACCCAACTGAAGGGGCATTTTGAACACCGGGGGCTCTTCTGGGTGCAATGAAGCTCGCGTAGATTGTAGTGGAGGGCTCTTCACATCGATAGACCGAGAGAAAGGCTTCTGGAGAAGCAGAATGAGCCAAACAGAGAGCGAGGCGAGAAAGGATTGCATCTGGTGGGTGGAGGTGTTGAAGACGGGTGAACCGGAGATATTTCTGCAGAGGTACGGTGAGCTTCGGGAAGAGAAACTGGGCAGCTTGACGAGGCGAAAATACACCTTGAAAAGCATAAATAATTTTTTAAACTTGAAATATTTATTTAAAAAACTTTATCATTAATAAATAAACCATTTAATTAGCTTTCCCCATTATGCTAAAACTAATACGTCCATAATGATTTAATCCATATCTCGACTAACAGGGAGCAATTTATTGAAATAGATCGATAATTAGGCGAACGAATTCCGATAGATTGACCTTTATAACTCTGGAAAAGGAGGCACCGGACAAAGAAAGAGACAAAGTTTGCAAAGTACGTAAAAAAATCATGTTCATACCTCACGTTAAGATGCTTTTACACCACTAAAAATTGTCAATATCACTTTCCTTTCTGTTGAGAGATATAATCATGAATAAATCAAATCCATCTGCAATAGACCCCTATGTTTAACAGAGTGCACATTCAACACACCAACACATTAATATCAGGAGAATACAAATGCTTTTATGTACAAATAATAATGAAATTGTCGAGGACCTTTGGAGGTTTTTCCCAAGCACAGCTCCAAAAAAATGTGCACTTTCGACAGTGTCCACCAACCATACTTCGGACGATGGAATGCAACCAAAATAATCTTAGCTCTTTTCGCATTACCAATATAAATGCAAAGTTGAATGAATGTTCAGTTTAGAAGAATAGATTAGAGCTTCTTTGGTCCTTAAAATGAAACCATTAATTTTAAAAAATTGCTGAAAAATTTGAGAGGGATGAACTCATCTAAAGGCATTGGTAGGTTATTCTCCTGAATACTCAGAGCTTGGGGTCTTTAACCTCCTTCTCGAATAGTTCCTAAAAAGATGGTTAGCACCTAAATAATTTCATAACTGGACTGAGTGAACATAGGAAATTACGGCAACTTTGTATCTCTGCGTCCACCTTTTGCAAACACAACTTTACGGAAAGAGTGCTGACTCCTCTACCACTGAAACAACCCCATTTTATTTTAAAAGAGCTATTAAATACCTATTAAATAGGAACCAGCACACGCAAGCGGACGAGGCAACACCCGAGCGCGTTTAAAGCACGCTCGAGATTCACGCCACACTAACTATGCAGTTAAACAAGAAGGAGATTGAATCACACACAGCAAGAAATGTGAGGAAAGACGGTTTTCCTCAACCCCTCCCCCAGTCCCCAATCCCCCCCCCCCACCAAATCAGATTGCTTCAAAGTTGTGCTGGGGAAATACCACAGGGTTACCCATAAAATAACAACTCTGTTGTATTTTGGTATAAATAGCAGGAAATGAAGGGAATAGAAAAGGTCACGATGCTTTTACGGCAATGGGAATTGCAGATAGGTCGTTACCAAAGCACAAATCGGGGATTGTATAAAATCTGGCGCTTATGAATCAGTAAATATAAAGAATTTATTTAAGCTGAGGGCTTACATTTTCGCCATCGCATGTTAGCAAGGCTAGAGATTTTGTTACTAGGTGTTGCCATCCTAAAGCCGCTCTTTTTGTGAACTCGCTTTCACAACTCCTCATCACCAGAATTAACCCACCATTTGGCTATCCACACCACTGGATTTGTCCCAAGAAGTAATCATCTAGTGATCAATAACTTTATTGAACACAACTTCAAAAGTGCACAAGAAGAAGCGAATAAACATCATTATTGAATCTGTATCAATACGACCTAAGTAATCGATTAGTTTACTCAAACGGCCACAAATTCTTAAACTTTAGGGAAATGACATTTGAGGCAATAAGATCTGATGCAGCATTGAGAAGATTCAAATCACGGAAAATCAGCTTGATTCTTTGAAATATGCTCTACCATACCTCAACACTTATTGGACAACTATCAAGTTGATTTTCCTATGATGAAAAAATCATAAATCGTAATAAAAACACTTTATTAATTGTTAGACTCATCAACACTAGGGTAGAATTAAACATCTACCATATAGTCTAATTGCCCAAACTCCATACCGTCTGTTCTATTAGTATAATGAAATAATGTCGAGATCCTTGAATGTAGGATATCGGCCCCCTAAATTAAGGAAAAGTGGATTTTGAAGAGTCAACCATCTTTCTCTTCCACTGAAAGATTAGAACACTTTTGAATGGAAATCGACTTAGTTAAAGATAGCGAATTAAATGATAGTGCACCATAGAGGTCATTAGGGCACGCCGAGTGCAATTGACAGCCAACACAGTCTAGCATTAACTTTTATGCGGTTGATTCTAACATTGACAATGCCATGTTAGTTGAAAAAGAGAACAAGCGCATTAGTGACTCACTAGATGGCCCCATTCGCCTTCCACTTATCCCACCCTCTAAAGGCATTAGTCATGGTCAACAGACGACCAACCTCGTTATGTTCTTGTGGGGTGATCTAGACGCAAACTAGATTGAGAGAAGGCAAATATCTGTCTGAAGATATGGGTTCGAATCTCAATGGATGTGTATGTGGGTGTGTGTGTGTCTACGAAATGACTAATGGCCTTCCAGAGACGAGACACACAAAGCGGATAAACCACACACAACTAGAAAAATCTAGGCGTGGATATGGAAATGGGAATGACTTGGAACGCACACATGTCTGGTCTGGTAGTTGGACAGATTGACGTAGCCGAATGCATTTGGACAACGGGCATAAGCTAAGGAGACGATGAAATTATTCTGGATGGAAAGCTAAAGAACAACCACGAATGATCATAATTTTGGCGGAATACCGAATTATAAAATCCAGTATTGAGCATAGGTACCTCGAGAACAATGGATTTGACTATTCATCCCCTAACCAATAGTTTAAGTGATACCCGAATTCACTTTCTTCTGTATTTTTTAGCCCTTGGGCGATCATTCTCATACTATTGATCAATACTATTTACATGCGTGGCCCTTGTTATTGAAACGATTTTATCAAAAGGTTGTGATTCCATATATCCAAACAAAAAGCGAATATTCGGTTTCTGGGAAATGGGACTATGCTCGTTTAAGTGGAATTATTTGAAATCATCGGGAAGATAAAAGGAAGCAACATGAAAATCTACTTTCATGAACAGTGCCAAATGTTCGAAAATTAGCCAAGCAGTTAGTGATACTGCCAATTTCGTAGGTCCCTTTGTTTAATTCCACTAGTAAACCTAGGATTATGTGAATGAAGAGGATATCTAATCATCACCATCATCATCACTCCCTCCTCACCACTACCATCATTATTATTATTATTATTATGGAAGGATCGAAATTTCAAGAAAATTGATATTTTAAGTCTCATTCCCTTGTCAAAATCGCTTTATGAAACTTTTTCACCAAATTTATCATATTAACAACAAAAAAGTGTTAGGACTAAGGAGGAATAAAAAAAGTTGATCACATAAATAGAGCGCGAACAAAGCACGACTGGGTTCAACGTCTCCACGCGGGACAAAAAAAACACGCGCAAAAAATCGTCGACATTTTCGGGTGTACAAGTTTGTGAAAGATCGCATACTTGTGCTTTGGTGATGAAGATGATCAAAGAACAACTATAACATTCTGCGGGCGTACCGAAACTATATCGAAAATTTATTTTTTTATTTATATCAAATGGCAGGCGTTTTGATAGTTATCATTAGCCATTTAGTTGACTTCAAGCTTCACAGAGGGGAGGAGGAACATCAAAGTGAAAAAGGTCGAGATGGGGGGGGGACAGAAGAGTGTTTCAAAGATGTAAAAGAGACAGACACAAATTTGGAAAAAATGTGAGGTGAGTACGGTTGAAGTAGTCGAATTTGACATGCAGTGGGGTGATGGTAGTTTGGAGTCTGAAGTCAACCGCCGGTTAATGGACTTTTTTGACGTATGAGTATACGTTGCCCGGGGTGCACCACGTGTAGGTAAGTCTATCGTACACCCCATATCGAAAATAAAGCCCCTACTTTGCAATTTCCTTTAAAATTCCAGAGAAATAACCCCCTCCCACCCCACTCTCTCTATCTTCGTTAATGCAACAGTGAAGCCTTTATCTTAATGAAAATCATCTATTTACCCATCGTATGCTACGCTAGGAGTTTAACGCAATTAATCG